ATGGCGTAATGTTTACGCGTCACCCGGACAGCCAATTAAATATTAAAATATACTGTACTTACACTTTCAGAAAATATTTGTATAACCATTTTGTATTAGTAGTCACATAATGGTTGACCTTAGTGATTGGGAAATGACATTTTTATTACCAAAAAGAGAACGTAAATGTGCGACAAAATCTGAGGAAATTGCTGGACTGACATTTTCTTTTTGACGCGAGTTTCAACTTCCTTTCACGTTAGCGAGTGACCTTCATTCTAACCCTCATCTCGCAAATAGAAAATGTAAGAAGGTTCACACCTGAATGTTATGTTCCAAAAAGGGCATTGTTTATTTTAGTATTCGTTTTAGAGGTGAAACTTTTATAGTATATTATCTTGATGTCTAAAAGTTATTTTCTTCTTTCTTTAGTGAAATTGCTATTAAAATAAATATTTTTTTTTATTTTACTTCTAGTATTTGTGTTCTTTTAATTATTTAGTAAAATGATTAGAGAATTGAATTATTTTTCCCCAATGTCGATCAAAGTAGTCATCATTTTTTTTTAAATCCCTGCGGATAGATACATTTTAAATTATATGGAGTATATGAAGTGTATGCGGAACAGTAGTTGTAAAAGCAGCTTACTTCCTTTTAATAATATTTCTTGAATTATATTTGTTACCTCAACTTGCAGGGTAAAGATGAACTGGATATGAAAGTCAAAGTAAATTATAGGCAATGTGAAAGTAATTCTAGCGCATATTCGACAACCAGATTAATGTCTCAACTGCGGTTATACGAAGTTAAAACGCTCGAAATCCTTTGTCACTGTACAATGTTTGATGAAACAGCAATCTCCTTGGAAATGGCGTACATTACACAAAAACATCCTGTAAACAATGTATCTTAAAAACGCAAATCATCTTGGAAATGACGTACTACATTAACCTCCGATCTTCGGAAAAAGTATTTATTTTATAACTTCTTCCTCCACAGACAAACTACAGCTGACCTCCAAAATCGTCGCAGATAGGAATAACATTATCAGTTATTCTTACTTGGCATTATTACATCAAGTCTAAAATGGTTGCAGGACTCTGTGCAAGACGTTTATAGATAACGGGAAGAATATTAAAATTCGCAGCAGCAACGTTAGAATGGCACTCGGCAAAAATAAGATGCACATTATTCATTTGTGATGCAGCAGTGTAGCATTTATGGTGAAGCATATACTGTTACACACACACTGGAAATAATGCATTAACAATATTTTGAATAAACACATTTTGCGAAGCTTTCCCTTCGACTGGACATTTGGCTGCGAAGAGCTATGAAAAATTGAAACGAATCATAAACGAACTGGTCTCCAATATGGTTGGTGACTGAAAAGTTTTACGCATTTTTCTAGATGAGATTGCGTGGAAATACGAGCAAAATAGTATGTTTTCAATTGCCTTTCATTTTTAAATTTTTTTATTTGACTATTTTCTTCTCCGTAATGAAGCTTTGACCGAACGTAAAGAGACTAAGCTGATATACAACAGTTATTTTACTATAGTGTTGTTGTATATATATATAATATACATATAATTATTATATATATATATATATATATATATATAATTTTAAAATACTGATATTGCTGTAACAAGTAATGTACCTCAGCTTCCGGGTCAATGACACCCCCCCCATCTTGATCAGATTTTTGTCTAGTTTCCCTGGTATATTGAGCAAATGATGAATTTGTTTTGCTTCTAGAAATAAATGTAGCTTCACTATGAGTTCGTTTTCTTGAACAATCCGTTTGCTTGTAGTGGTACGAATAGAGCCGAGGGTGTGTAACTATTTTGTTAACAATGCAAAATATCAATTCTGCTGTTAATTTACCAATGCAAAGAAGTTTTCTACTCAGAGCTCAGAAGAGAAAATGTCTAGTTTTTCAAATGTTACTAATCTCGCACTTTTTTCATTTAATTTTTTTTGTTGCTTATTCATTTTTTTTAACTTTTATTTAACTTTCAACTAGTTAGTTGCCTTATAGTTAAAATGTTGTAGAGGGATTTTGGAGCTTGAGAAAACCTGTGAAGACGATCCTTCTTCTCCACACGTCACATTCAATTTTACTGTTCTTCGCCTAAATAAAATATCCAATTTAAATTAAATACATACGAAAAAAAAAACAAAAAAAATTGTTCCTGTTCCAAAACGTAACACGTAAATAGCAAAGAGCCTTTGAATAGGTGAGCGACTTTTTTCTCTGAGCCTGGCAGTTGCATGACGCAAACTGTCGTCAGCGGTAACGCATTGAGAAAGAGAATTCAGTCGGCACGGGCAGTATGAAAATGGGCAACATGACACAATCAATTGTTCGCTTTATTAGTGAAAATCGAAATTGTTTCATTGCTTTCAGATTTTTCCCAAGTTCCTTGGTACCTAACAAACCATAAATACGTGGCCGTGGCCTTTTCTTACAATTTCTACGGGCATTGAAAATGAGTAGATTATGCTGTGATAATGTTGTGGTAGTCCGTAATATTGTTAATGGTATGGTATAATATAAAGTGCATTTATTTTCAAAAACAAAAGTAATTATTTAATTCATTAAAAAAATAAAGAATTTATTTTCAAGAAAAATGTTCTTCAGCAAACTGTGGGGTTTGAGAAGCGGAGATTCCCTTTCTGAGTGCGTTATCACGAGCCAAGTAAAATTTGTGAAGTCCCAAGCGAATTTCGTTCAGGGTCATCAAAAGAATGAGCGCTACAAATGTTGCGTACAAGTACAATTATGTCCGCAGTTATTTATGTTGTACAATTTGCATTAAAATGTTTTATGTACTATATCGAACAACCGTTTAGCCTTTTTCTTTTGACTTTTCATCTCTTCTGAACTCACTCAGTTAATCATATTGAGTGCAATCCTGAATTTCCATGTGAAACTGAATTCCCAATTTTGTACAACGCACTACTGACACAGCCAGTCTGCTTCAGACTTCTAAGGAAAGTGGCAGAGAGTACAGAGGAAAGGAAAGGAAAATCTGTTCGATTTCTTTCGCTTTTAATCTGACTTCCGTTGACATTTTTTCCGCTATCAGAGATTTTTTTAATCAACGCCCTCAAGATATCCATTGTTTTATTTACGTGTATACGAGTACTTACAATGGGTTTCAAAGTTCGTTTTCGGTTAATAGACTACAATTTAAATGTAACGGATCCAGGCAAATGTAAGACTATGAATTAGATAGATAAGACTACAGAATTAGACTATGGATTAGTACAATTTTATGAAGAATGTGAATGATTTAGTGAAACGTAAGCACTGAAAAGCAGCTAAAATTCAGGAACAATATCCTTAAAAAATGCTTCAACAATGAAAGCTGAAACATCCACAGAAAATGGATGGACACAGTTTGCGCAATCTCTCCCTGTTCACACTCTTTTTATCCTCGTTTAATTTCTGCACAAAATGTTCAGATTTTTTCTCCATCCTACAAAAGTTTACTTTATCCCAATTAATTGATTTTATAACTTTTAGATTATTATTATTATAGTAAATTATTATTATAATTCATCGATTACAATCAATTGAAAGAGTTTTCCCAACAGAGTGCACGTATAGCGAAATGAAATCACACCACGCAAATGCTCTAAAATATTCAACACCTATATACTATGCTGGCCGTATATTCGTTAATATAATGCGCGACTAATTACTATATCTTCAAACAGAATGTCTCTCAAATCCCATTCATTATCTCTTAATCCTGAATCTGAATTTACACCTAAATTGAAAGCAATGATGTAAGGGAGCTGTGGTCCAGTGGTCCAAAATACCAATCGGTAACACCAAACGCTACGGAGATTTGGTACCGTACTAATCAATGTGTTAAACGAGTTAAACATTTATAACCGATTTAAATATTTACATCAATTAACGCAATTTTTATACGTTTCTATGTTATACGCATTTAACTGAAAATTCTTATGACGTGCTATCGATGGATGATGGTAAAATGTATTCGTTGTAAAACCGCTTCATAGAAGGAATTAAACGCACCTAATATTATATGATGCGTTTAATAGTAGTTATGTGAATTCGCTATTTGAATGTTTAATTCATTGCTATGAAATTTGTGGATTATATGAATGTAACTGTGAAATCTGGAAAATCAGAAATCGTTCTCAAACGTGTCGAAATCCAGCGTGATGTAGTGAATGCAGGGGAAATTTAAACTGAAAATAAAATAAAATGTCCAAACAAACAAAAAAAACAAAAATATAACTTTTTTGTTTCATTAATTAAGAAAAAGAAAAAAATTATTGTTACTTCGCTCCATACGCTTTATACGTAAATATGTTCAAATTCGGATGCAATAATGAAAAAAAGCTATATAATTTTTATTTTCATATTACGTGTGTAAAATGTCTATTTTTCACGGTCGAGATTGAGATTTGTTGCCGAGACTTACAGCTACAAACGGTGAAGAAAACGGAAACTTCACACACCATATGTGATTTTTTTTTTTTACAACTGCATAAAAATATAATACAAAAGGTTTTGTAAACCGTATGGTCTATGAAAACCGTATTGCATTGTTTTACCTTTCGATTGATTATGGTCACAATGATTTGGAAACAGTGCTATACTTTTATTCTACTTTTTGAATTACTAATTGAAAAATAGTAGATAATACTTCGTTTCTTTCCTATCTTTACGATTATGTCTGACATAATTATAGGAAAACAGTGCTACATTTCCTTCGTAAATTTAGAATGACTGGTTTCGGAATAGTTTAGGACCCGTGAGATTGCTCATAGCATTGGCTGTGTTTAGTAGGTTAATGGCCAAAGCCATTGGACATAAACCAGGAGACTTCAATTCCCGGACGCGGCGAGAATTCGAAGTATCAAATGTTTGTGAAACAAACAGCGCCGAATTTACTAACAAGCAAAATGAACAGCTACATAGAGACCCTCTTCTATGTGCTGCCACACGTCCGGAAAAAAAGCTCATAAATTACTTTTTTAAACGATTTTTTTTATCTGAAAAATTATCATCAATCAAATATTCTACGGTACAAAAACGTTAGCAATTTGAGCTGGAAATTGTTTACATTCATTTGTATTTGTACAAACAGTTATATAATAATTAGGTTTTCTAGCGAATCTGAAGAAATTTCTTTCCGCAGACGGGTCCCCAAACACGGATTGTCCCATCGTAACCGACTAAAACGCAAATTACCAAAACAATTCTACGACCCTCCATAACCTCCTTTCGAATCTTATTAACCACGAGAAATATTTTTATTCTTGATGTACGAGCTGCATTTTTATAGGTACTCATCTTCTATATTTCTTATTTGATATGATCATTTGCTGCCAAGGGGCTAACTGGCCAAAGGCATGTAATTATTCAATAATAATAATAATAATAATAATAATAATAATAATAATAATAATAATAATAATAATTTTACGCCGTAAGAAAATCCGGTGCTCGTCTTTTGAGCGTTTCGAATTCCAGTTGACACCAGGACAAGGGCAACTCACCTCGCGCTGCAAAACTGAAGGCGACCCCGACGGCGGCGGCGGCGTTGGCGGCGTTGGCGGCGGCGGCGGCGGCGGTGGTGGCGGCGGCGGTGGTGGTGGCGCGTGCGGCAAGGGCGGCCGTCTGCCGTGGAATCAGCAACAGCACTGAGCGACCGCTGGCCCCCGTTGCCTCGCCCGCGGTGCTGGGCCCGCGCAGCCGCCGTGCCGCCGGCCCGCCCTTCCACCCCTCTCTCCCTCACCCGCCGCACGCGCGCAGTGGGCGGAGCATGGCGGACGCGTGGGGCCAAACACGATTCATTGATTGTTCGTTGATTGGTTTATCGATTGACTGTTTAGTGATTCCGGACACCTCAACTATCAGGGTCATTAGTCCCGTCAGTGTGGTGCATGTTTTTCTTTGTGACGTGGCGGTGATATTTCCCCCGCTGTATGGCGAGATCCGGCGCCGACCTACCGTCGCCTAGAGGGGTTCTCCCCAACCAGGTATCCCCACCCGGCGGGGCACCGTGTCAGCCGGGACAAGCTCTCAGCTCCCGACTGGTCTCCGGGCATATGCGGTTGTGTAGTGAATGTTAGTGTCAGTGTGTGTATGCAAGGGGTGAAATAGGTCAAGGAAGAGGAAGGAAAGCGGTCCGTGGCCCGTTTGTTTAGGGTACTGCTCCCGCATTCGCCTGGTGTTGATGGGAGAAACCACGGAAAACTACCAATCAGAGCAGCCAGCCGCTAGGATTCTCCTCCAGACAGCGACTGAATTCGACCGAGCTAACAAGCCAGTGTCGAAAATCCTGCCACCGTCGAGACTCGAACTTAGGACCTCTAGGGACTGCAGTTGATTGTTGGTCGTTCCGCACACGTCAACTGTTAAGTTCATCAGACCGCGTAGGAGTAGTGTTTCTAGTGTTTCTTCGGGAGGTGGCGGCGATGTTCCTCCGCTAGATGGCGAGATCCGGCGCCGACCTACAGTCGACATCCGGGGTTTTCCTCATCCAGGTACTTCCCACCGCCCAGCACCGCTCGGGACAAACTCTAGCTCCCGGCTGGTCTCCCGGCGTGAGTGGTAGGAGTGCATGTAAGTGTAAGCGAGGGTAAGAAAGGGGTGAGGATAGAAAAAGAACCCTCCATTTCAAGTGTTGAAATGCACAGAAAATAAAAATGTCCCTTTTATTTTATCGTGGAAGATAATTTTGACATTTTGCTTTAAATTAATTTTACTCTTATTTTGACTTCTGCTCATTTCTGCCCGTCCATGCTATAGAGTGGGGGCACCCAAGAGAAGTAAATCTGCAAAATTGGGAAATAACGATCCAAAAGGTCGCATTTTGTAGAAAACTACCTAAGAATATAATCTGAGTCCAACCTGTCCACTTTCATTTCCCTACCCATCTATCCGTCACCTTCACTCGAACTGTCTCTCTTCATTTCCCCATTTGTCATCTACCCGTCCATTCAAACACGTCTTCTGTAAGAATTTACCTGCACTAAAAAAATTCATGTCCCTATAGGACACGCAAACCGACTTTAAATGGCCTAGGACGCGTCGCTTCCGATTTTTTCGCAATCATAATGTGTGGCAATCTTTTCTTCTTGTATGTCATAATCTGCAGACTTCTATTTTCTCTTCTGAAATCTGTTCGTTGTAGTACTGGGCTGTAATTCTCTATCCACCAGTATCACACAAGGTTTTGTGTCGATGGTTTCTTATAAACCGACAAGAACTATCGGTTTTCCTTAGCTTATGATAAAGAAAGGATTAGAATGCTTTAAAAATCGGATAATCAGTTACATATAACAAAGAGAAAAACCTACTGAGTGCTACAACAATGTATACAAATGTATAATAAACTCTAAAATAAATGCACACAACTGTTTCATTTTCGAAGTATATTCAAAGTCAAATTGGTTTAAAGGCGGGTATATGGTAAAAATTGTTTTCATTTTTTTTTAACTAAAGCCCAGCATTCGAAAAAAATCTTAAATAAATCCCAAACAATTTGTGTTTTGAAAGGAACGTTTATGTTTTTTTCGAGTCTGCTCCAGGGTTCTAAGACACCGTAAAAAATTATGTTTTCAAAAATATTTTCTGCATTAGAATTTGGCACTGAAAATATCAAATAATGTTTTTCCGATAGTATGAATTATTTTCTTATTTTTATAATTTTCAATCAGACAAAATAGTGTTAAGTTGAAAAAAATTGGCTGTAGAGAAGTGTGGGTGGTCGGGCGATAGCTAAGAAACCTTTCAAAATTATTTTCATGTTAGAGTTATAACTACTCATATGTCATTTGATTCAGGCGAACTTTTTATCATCTTATCCGGAAGTAAGAAAAAAATTGAGACCATGGTTCATAAATTTGGAAAATGTTGCGAAGATATGTAAAGTTCCTCCAAACTTTGAAGAAGGCTGTTGAAAATCGCAGTGCTTTGAATCGGGCCAGATCGATCGAGGAATGTTCATTTTGTAAACAAAGTCTACGAAAGTTCAGGCGCTAGTATTGTTCATAGACGTTCGGACGAACGTTTTGAAACAAACACTTTTTCTGTGTCAGGGAAATCCACAACCTTCTGTTAAAACCTTAAAATCGATTTTCCGCTGCATTTAATAACTTTCTCGATATAACGTATACTACTCGGTGTACATATACGTATCCGACAAAATAAAGTAGTACACGTAGGCTTCCGCGGTCAGTAAAGTTGTTTGTTCAAAAATGTTTTGGCACCGACCTTCCGTCGGCTAGCAGGGTTTTCCCTAACGAGATATCTCCTACCAGAGGGGCACCGCCTCAGCCTGAAAAAGCTGTAAGCTCCCAACTGCTCTCCCGCATGTATGCTAGTGTAGTGCTTGTTAGTGTAAGTGCGTGTAAGTAAAGGGTGAGGATGGGAATAGGGAAGAGGAAGGAAAGACCGCGCGCACTCCGTAGCATGTTTGTTAGAGTACTGCTCCTGCATTCGCCTGGTGTTGATTGGAGAAACCACGGGAAACTACCGCTCGGAGCAGCCGCCCGCTAGAGTTCTCCTCCAAAGAGCGGCTGAACGCGACCTCGCTGACAAGCTAATGCTGTATCGAAAATCCTGTCACCGTCGGGTCTCGAACCTAGAACCTCCCGGTCAGAGGCACTGCAGTGATATCAGTTGAGGCCCTGAGCCACCTCTCCCGGTCTCGTGCAGATCTGCTCACTCGACTTACCATGTAGGCATATGCATTCCGTTCAGGAGGGTACGTAAGACATGACTTTGGCATTCCAGACATATCGTTTGCTTGTAATTCACGACATTGACTCTGACTAGAAATGGATTTATTGTAGATGCACGTGCATGTTACACGTTTGAGAGAGACTTTGTCACAGCGCCGTTACGTCTTCCTCTGGTCGGCCTCTTACTGCAAGGCCCTCCTACTCTTAAAGGTGGTATGTTCGTGTCAGTCACTAGTCAAACTCTTAACCATTTACTAGATCAATAGATTTTCAATAGCTGCTTGTATACGTGAACGAATCATTTAAATAATTAATTGTAAATAGTTAAAATAGAAATGTTGAATAGTTGCTCTCTAACAACAATGCTTATTATTAAGTTTAGTCTCTCGCATGATTTCTCATTTTCTAAAGTTTGCAATACGTAATATAGGCGTAGGATAGTTTGACTTCGGTGTCTATACTTCTATTTATTTCTTCGTTAAATATAAGTCCACATTGTTTTCATCGAAACCGAATTATCGTCAAATAGTTTGCGTTTGTGTGTGGTACAAAATTCTAAGTTAAGGTGGTTTTCTCTCGTACCCCAAGAGAAACAGTGCTGACAGCATGATTTGTGCAACATAAATTTCTAGGCCGAGAACCAGTACTTCTGATTACGATGAATTTCGCAGCATTTTACCAATTACTAATCAGAATACCCGGTAAGATATGTTACATATCATCTGATTCCTCAAAAAATCTACTACTTATTGAATAAAAGAAAAAAGTACTTTCTCCGTATAACGTTTTCAATAACTTAAAAACGTACACTTGCAAACGTTTTTTCGTAAGAGCCTGCACCAATTTAAACTTCGTTTATTAAAAAATTAGGCCGGGAAGGGCAATTCTTTTCGTACCATGTTGAAGACCAGTGATTTTCCTTTCATTTAAAGTATATTTTTGGGTATTTCACCCTGATCGATCTAACGAACATTGTACTTGAAGGAATCCTTAAGATCCGCACACAGCTCAACACCGTGCCCGAGATCGTAAATCTTTCCAATCCGCTCAAGCTAAAGGGCCCTTTAACTTTGCTTTTATGACCTGAAATTGCGTTAAATAAATTGAACGCCACAAGAGGGGGTCGTAAACTGTCACGTCCTTAATGGCGAACGATTTTCAAATATCCCTGCATTTCTCTGCTAGTGTCAAGCAACTATAGACTCTTTTATGAACCTGGGAATACGAGTTATTCTAGTTCAACGCAAAGAAATGATAGCTTCAATAGCTATTGAAGAGCCACTTGTCAATCACAACGTGATATTCACAGCATATTTTGATGAATACTTAAGGCTGATGAATTAAGAATTAATAAGATATGTAAATTTTTACCAACTTCAATGATACCTTTAGAACACTTATTTCAGCACTGATAACAATAGTTCACTGATATGGAATAATACAAACAATTTCACTACCCAAACAGCTTTCATTTCGGGAAATACTTATTTGAATTTCCTTTACGAGTCCCGACCCCAAATATTAAGGATTTAAATGAACGATAGATTTTGAAAATGAAATTTAAAGATATGGAATAATGTGAAAAGTTAACATGTGAAGACATTGTTTTGTAGTGTTTGAAACAACATAATCCTTTTAGGAGAACACGCAGATACCTCACTCTCTGAAGCTTCATTAAGAAATATTGAAATCAAAGAAAACCATTAAAGTGTTGCCTTAATCAATACAAAAGTTGAGAATATGCTTATTGATCACCCCATTGTTTATTTACAATTTTGAAATTATTTTGTACTTGAGATTATGCCTGTTTTCGGCTCTTTCTGACTCTTCTCGTAGGCAAATCATGGAAAATCACAGAATATACTTTCTCGCATTATTTCTAAATTTCTAATTTTCTAAAATTCAGAGAATTCAATGAAAATGAGACCCGTGTCATTTTCGGTTTTTTTAATCGTCCGTTCTTCTATAAAAGAAAAAATTTAAAAAAATGTGGGGCGGTTTTTGAGAAAATCTTTTTTTCAGAAATTTCATAAATAACAATCACAAATCACAAGAAAACTAGTTGTTTTTTTTCAAAAATTTGCACCTGACCGTTTTTAAAGAGCTTATTTTTTACAATAGACTATCTCAGACAAAAATGTCTATCTAAAATTTTGTAGTTTTAAAAGATTTTTTTGCAAAATTGCAAATAACTTTTTACTATTTTGGAAAAAAAGGAGAGTTTCCGAAAGTGTCCCTATCATCATCCTTTTCACGGTCTTTCATACATTTGAGAAAACAATTCAAAGAAAAATAATCTGGAGCAGTTTTTTGAGAGGAAGTGGTAATTATTCGATAGAAAAACTCGTATTGTGGGTTCTTGAGCTGCCTTGACACTGAAACATTTGTTTTCGAAAAAACATCGGTGTATGAACAGACAGAGAGGACAGTATGGGTAAAGACAAAGAGAGACAGATAGGCAGAAACAGATCGAGACAAAGGCAGACAGAGAGAGAGACACACACAAAAAGAGACAGAAACAGAGAAACAGAGACAGAGACCATAGAGACACGGATATAGAGAGGGACAAAGACAGGCTGAGACAGGGACAGAAAGAGACGGGGAGAGAGAAGGAGAGGGAAGGTGAAAAAAGGAAATGAAGGGTAGAACTTCTGCCGGGTTCCGCCAGTATAAAATTAAAATTAAATAAAAGTTAGTACGCATGGTACTCATTTTCTCAGTTTTTCATTAATGTCACGTGTAAATTGTATTTTTACGAGAGGAAATCTAATTTTGCAAATTTTAATTGAGGCGGTTGGCGGATTGTTTGAAAGAAATATATCAATACATTGGGTATACAAATTGTAGAGTAAAAATAGAATTGATATCGGGATATTCAATAGTAAATTAATTATTTTTTATATCCTTTTGATACATTCCTGTTCACCGAGGGATTTCCGAGCCGTAGTTGGTGGGATACATGCAGGCAGAAAATAATTTCAGGCAGAAATTACGCAAAACTACTTAAGATTTCAAACAAATGTTCATGATCATTTTTAATGAGCTGATTTTTTAGAAAAAAATAAGATAAAAATCTCTCTCTTCCATTTTATGGTTTCTAAATGACTTTTGCAATTTTCGAAAATACGGAGAGTTCAACGAAAATGACACTTGCACCGTTCTCTTGAGCCTTCTTCTATCCTTGAAAAAATTTAAAAGGAAATTTAGAACGGTTTTTGAGAAAAAATAGAAATTGTGTAAATTTCAAGTGCAAATTACGCAAAAACCACTCTCTTTTTCAAAAAAATTGTACACGATCTTTTTTAAAGAGCTGATTTTTTACAACAGACTTTGTCTGAGGCCAAAATCTATATCTTCAATTTTGTAGTTTTAAAATGTTAACGTTTTTACAATTAAAAAAAACAGCAATATTCGAAGATGCGACTACCATCTTATTTTTATCGTCCCATATCACGTTTTTGAATTGCCTATATTTCGCGCAATATTATACAATACCACTCATGTTTTTGAAAAATGTAACATGACCATATTTCAAGATCAGTCTACAAGGAACACACATGAATAAGAAGAAAAATCCCCATCTTCAGTATTATAGTTGTAAAACATTTTGAATTTATGTTTTTCGAAAAATCAGGAATTTTAACGAAAATGAGACCTATCATTTTACGCTATTCGACAACAAAATTTAATCAAAATAATTTGTGCCATTCAAAAAAAAAAATGAAAATTAAAATATAGGTTTCAAGTTCCAGAGGCTGCGACATTAATTAGATTGATTGGGGAATAACAATTTTGGAGAAAATCGGTTTAGGCGCTAGCGTTGTGCACAGACGGGCATTTTGCCGTCAACCGATTCTTCGGTATCAAGGACTCACGAAGCTTGGATTCCCACGTGTTAGAGGAAGTAATTTACTATATATAGGCACAAGATATCTGCTGACTACAGCACTCCCTATGAGACGCTGGATGCAGTCAGTCCAGTGCTTTACATGCGAACTCAACCCTACCTATTGGTGACAATAAGAATTACCTGCTCATTTGAAAAGATAAGATTGGACGCGCCCACTTTAAACTATTTTTACTTGGAATGTGAAAATGATTCTAAATAACTAGACAAGCGGTACTTAAATGTAAGACATCCTTGGAAATTATAAGAGAATCAATGATTCTCTTGCTTCCATGGAATAAACGCCCCTGCTTTATACTGCTAGTGGGACAGGCTGAGATATTTTCAAAATTTTACTATACTTCAAAATTTTACTTTACTATAGAATTTTACTACTTTATACTATAAAAAATTATGAATGCAACAAAATTTTAACTACTGCTTCAGTTAAGTATGAAATATGAAAAACCTATAATATCATTCTTTAAATTTTGCAAATTGCCAAATTAGCCTCTTGCTAATAATAACCAAAATTGCAAGATCCATTTGAAATTCCCAGTTCTTAAGGTGATTCACAATGATAACAAAACACCACATTTGGAAAAAACACTTTGCCACTTATACCACTTTGGAAAAATTCTTGGATACAATACAATAATCAGAGTGCTTTTAGATGGATGAGCAGACCAACAAATAGACTCTTTTTGAAACGCATAATCACTTTCTTTCTTTAAAAGAGATTAAGCAAATATATTTGAGCTAAAATTGCAATATTTGTTTTGTAAAATACAAACAAAGATTTGTTTTGTAGATAGTACAATTTATAAATACAATTTCTCAGTAAATCGTTTTTTATTATGTAATACATAATATTCACAGGTCTGGAGTAAAATTTTCAACTTTTCCAAGGCTGAAAAATTTGCTCAACTGCCTTCCAAACTCTAGGCAATGGCAATGATTTAATTCAAGAATTTTCTTCCACTTACTTGAGCATTGGCCAGGGTTTTGTTAACCATATGTTTCGGTTCTTTGTATGTTTCAGTCTCATCATTGTCTGGATCATCTTTGCATTCTTCACTATTTTGACTGTCCATTCGTTCTCATTTTGTGAGAAGGCAGCAAAATCTTATCTTCCTCAGCAACATCTTGGCCAGAAGAAACTTCTCCATTCAATTGTATAAGCAGTTATTGAGAAGGTTGAGAAGGACTCAGGATTCCACATTTCCATGAAATGAATCACTACAACCTTCAAACAAAATAAAAGACCATGATTATTCAAAAGCAAGCATGCCTGTGCAAAAATGTATTGCTTGAGAAACACTACATCTTTTGAAAGGAAAACTAGACCTTCATTTTTGAAGCACACAATTCACTTGCATAAAACGATTCATTATATACCATTTTCGTTCAATTCAAAATTTACAAAATGCTTTTTCATTAAAATTTTAAATGTCTAGGGATTAACACAAGCTGTTCTAAAACTTTGTGTTATTATCAGATCATGAATTAAAACAAGTAGTGCTACAGAATGACGCATTCTTTCTCACACTAATTAAGATTCCAATTCTGTTGCTCCTGCATTGTTTTTCGGATTCTTCCCATTTGCCACTACTGGCACCTAAAGACACTTTTTTTTCACATTTACTCAATTTTGCAGTCCCCTAATAGTAGAGTTGAAATATATCTTTAAGAATACTGTAGAAGAGTAAAACCAGAGTCTGAAGTCATTTTTTAGAAAATGTCATTTGAGTGTTAGGATTATTTTCACAGAAAATGTGGTATCCAGAAAGAATTTTACTTTCATATAATTGACAAATTAAATTTCAGTGGGCAACCCTCCTCTCTTCTCAACATGAATATGAGGACTGTCAAAAACTTTTTTTAAGTTTAATTTAGGAGAAGTAGAATCTCCTTATCAAGATTCATGTACAGATTTTTATTCAAAATCATATTTAAGTATTCTTTTAAGGTGTGTCTGAGTTCTTTCCTTCGGCTGTCCTGCATCTCATACCTCATAGGATAATGTCTCAAACTGCATAATTGTTGGCTTTTATGATCCTAGTTTTGTCTTTATTATTGACCAGAAAACTGAAATACTTCCCAAATCAAGTGTGTTAAAAACCATATTGGGAATATCAATTCCAAATAACTTCCTTGAAACAGTTATGAACATTAAATGAGGATTTCTTAGCATTATCCATTTTGAATTAAAGAAACTTCTTTTGATTGATGGATATTCTGTGCCAATATATATATATGATTTAACTTCATTCACCAGGGAAAGAAAAATACCTCTAATATATACCTCTCTCATTTAATCAAAAACTCTGAACAAAATAAGTCATAATTTTGTAATTGAATAGCAAAGATGAAGATAAAGGGTATTTATCTTTAATATGCTGATTAAGTATTTTGAAGACTGTTTTGTTTGCATCTACAATAGACACACAATAGATAATAGACAATAGATGCACAATATACTGGAAAACTAAAACTATCTATGAAAACATGAAGTTGATTTTGATAGTTTTGAAGTTGATTAGTATACAAGTGTTGAATTAATAGGAAGGCATTCGTTTTATTTTACACAAATGAAAATTTCAAATGAGCATCTCAGTTTGTTCTAGATACCCACTTTTATACAGCATCGCAGGAAAGATAAAAAAGGGAGCCCACAGCAAATAGTGTAAGCAATGCTTCTTCACTTATGTTATTTTTAACAAAAATCTTATCAGCCAAAGGTCTGGGTTAATTTTCATATTATAATGTTTTATCTCCAAATGGTAAGTACTATTCCCAGATTATGCAGTAAAACTTGCGCATTTCAGAATGTGCATAATGGGGAAATCTGTCTCGTGTAAAGATGAATCATGGTCCTGTCAAACTTTCTACAGTATTACATTGCATAATGCAGTATCTTCTCTAATATGAAAAAAAATACTGATCCCTTGAGATTCCACATTGAGCATGTTTTACTGTATATTGGAGCTTATAATTAAATTAAACAATAATTATTAACTTTTGAACTCGTAATCAATTGTTTGTGGTTACTTATGCAAAGTGTTTGCTAATTCACCTTTTACAATATTTTAAAGATTTGAAAATAACTGAAGATGCATGAACATTTTGCAAAATTTGTTTGACAAAACCCTCAATTCCAGTTTAGTGAATAAATAACTCGGAAAATCAACCTATGGTTTTCTTTACATAAAATACTGGAAACAGCAAAATACTTCATCCTACACTAATAGACAAACATAATGGTTATTAGTAAAACTACGATTTATATGGAATAACAGATACACATACATCATACATACATATGGACTAAAAATGTTTAAAATATGAAAATATGGGCTAACAATTGAATAAAAGGATTAAATTAACAAAATTAATGAAATAATTAATTGTATAAGTTACTTGAATAAAACTGCCAAAGAAACTTATCTTAATATTGGATGTAGAACAAGATTTAGTCATGTATAAAATAGACCTGATTGTGTTGATGAAAGTTCCTTAATTATCTTTTGATAATTGGTCATTTATAAAGGTGTACTTAAACTTTAAATTGTGAAACTGCTCTTTTGATCTCCTAACATTGTTTTGTGTGAGAGAAAAGTCTATTCAACATCAGAAGTACTAATGGAGCCTATTTTGAACCTCTCGATATATTGTGGATTTTAATCCAGATCTACTTCTAAATCCCTTTACCACTTTAAATTACAATAAATAATAATAAAAATTATCTTCCCAAAATTATTTTGAAAAACTATATTACGAGTAACATATTACGAGTACAATGTTGAAGTATCCGAAGATGCACAAGTTTTCCTTTAACCCTCATCCGGGAAACAGGGACCCATTGGACCCTGAAGCAAAATTTTCAATACTTTACGTGAAAACTATCAAAGGTATTAGGATATTTTTTTGTGACTTTATTTGCTATATTGTTTTTTTAAATATACCCACAACTATTTTATGAAAAGGTTACTGAATAATAAATTAAAAAATCTATATCTTTTCGCAGCCACAACCAGGCAAGAGGGATCCACTGGACTACCGTGTCTTAATCAGCATGTAATAATGCATTTTCTGGTTTTATTTGGTTGATTACTTGACGACTGTTTTGTGTCCTAAGGAGGGCGCACTTTGGATTGCACATTGTCTTTTCATCGGGATGTTATCCAACAGTGCGTGTCAGCGATTCGAAGAAAGACACCTTCGTAGACAGTGTTGCTGCAGGTTAATATGTAGCCGGTCAGTAAGAGTCAGGAGAGGGTGTTTTTAATGTCGTGTGCAGTCCACATTTTACGGGAAAACTGCAAATTGACAGATATATTGACTGAATGTTAGAAAACATGATGTCATACAATTATTGTTGATATCGCGAAGGACTTTGTTTATACACAAAAATGTAAGGAGACAGTCAAACAGGATTGAATAAGAAGCGTCACCTGTCCATCACACATATTATCAGGGAAGAAGCAGATTCCACAACTCTGAAAATATATATAACAATGCCAAAAAAAGATATCATTTGTGCCCTTGAGAATGTAGGAAACAAAGAAATGTAGCATCTGTCCAAAACCTGCCTGTAATGCCTACTTTTAATAAATCTTCTTAACATTTTCTTTCTCCCATAACTTTTTCTTTTGCTCTCCATTCCATAGTTCACAAAATCATTTTTCATGGACTTTAGCCTGATAGACACACTGGATATTTTATTATATTCATCATGTTTGCAGACACCAAAAAGTAATATCAAATGCTTGTAACTAGAAAGAACCATTCTAAATGGTAGCAGTAATGTACCATAACATAGAGTAAAATCAATTTCAAACTTCAAGGTAATTCATGAAATATGCCATGAATTTTTATAAATTCTAGATAACGAATAAGATCCAAAGCTTGGAGAGAGGCTTGAAGAAATCATATGAATAGAGTTTGCATATTATTTGTACAATTTATTTCTGCAAGCAAAAACATCAGGTTTGTCTTACATTACATGGTAAAGCTGCCTTGATAAATTTCATTTTATTTGAAAGAGATTGAACCTTATGATCCACTATGCAAATCTTTTACATCTACCTACACCGATCCTTTTCAGTTGGATCTGACACTACTCGTTATTTATTAATCTCATGTTCACCACAAGTGTGTGGCTGAAGGAAGAATCATGTAGTACTCAAAATATTATTGCTCCAAAACTACACAGACAAGCGAGATCAGAATATTGGATATTTATTTGGACAATGTTCTTTAGATGTTGAAGGATAATTAACATCTATATTTAAAAAAGCATTTAAATGTCACTGATCATGCCAAATGTAACACTACTATTTAAAATATGGAGTGATACTTTGTGTGATTCCAATCTTCACACATTAATAAAAGACAATACGCCTCTGAGCTTTGATCCTGCAGTATAAGAAGACAAATTAAATGTTTCAACTTGTGCAGAAAAGTTTGTAAACGCGATTTACAGCAATTCGCAAGCAAATAATACATATAAAAAGTGACAATGGGTAACAAAACACTCCACAAGCTGTGGCAGCATATCCAGTGCGAGGTTCATTACTAATTTGCGGCACAATATTGGCGGGAATCTTAAATGAAGACGAATACCAAAATTAATATCACCTTGGTACAAGTCATATAAACATATAAACGATGCTTTTTTTAAAATATAAGACGCACTCCTTATTTTTTTCAAAAACGTATATTGTTCCCACTTACGTATTTCGTTTCTCGTCAATCCAGAAATTCAGAAGATCAGGTGAGAAACGCCACATAAGTGAAAATTTTCTAATTACTCGTGCTGCTTTCATTTGGATCGTGTTTGAATTGGCATCGCCATTTACTGTGTACTAATAGGCGAAGAAAAGTAGTTTAGTTCTGAATAAACATCACAATCGTCCTTGTTACTTGAAATGTTTATTTTTGCAATAAATGTTTATTTTAAATTTTTGATTATTTTCAAGGGGTAATGATGGAATAAGTGATACTTTCTTGGAAATTTTCAAATGTATTCATATTGCAGAAAATAATATTACAATATAATTCCTTAAATAATACGAGACTAGTGTGCTAATTATTTTTCCTGGCTGTTACATCTTATATTATTCTCCATGAAATACAATTTTGTGAACAAATTTGCGTGTTTTGATTTCTCATCGATTATTGATTGTTTGCGTTTCGAGCGCGTCAACTGCTAAAGTTATTAGTCCCGTAAGTGTGGTGCGTGCTTTT